TGACCAAACTGCGGAGCGCATCAAAATGCTGTCGGTGTGAGTTTTTATATATATATATATCCACCTTCATGGAAGAACTGAAAGGTAGGATCCAGGATACCCACAACAATAGGAACAGATGCTAGAAAAGGTGAAGCTTCTTTCGCTTCTTTAGCTTCGGAAAAGTGAGGAAGTCAGGGCCAGGATTTTGCTGCGCTAACGCGCGGCGTTTTGTGAAGGTATGTTTTGGGACTTGCTCGCACAAAAGTGTGCCAAGCAAGAGTGTGCCACAGAAAAAGTACACTCTTGTCGCACAAGATGTGTCAGTCAAGAGTGTCATACTCCAAGAGTGCCCCACAAGAGTGCAAAGGTGTCGCTTTCTAGGGCGTCAAGGATCCGAGTGTCCCATAAGAGTCAGTCAAGCAATAGTGTTTTAGAAAAAGTGTTGAGCGTGTGAGCGCACACTAAGAGTAACCATGCGTGTGAACCATGGGTTTCGCTCGTCAGGTCCTGAGCAGATGGCCCCTTTGATTATAGCCTTCCCACTCCCCCCGCCCACATCCAAATGCGTTTAACCTGTTTCGGGCTCAAAGTGCAAGCTCGTGAAAAAGCCTGAAACTTGATGCAAAATGCGCGCAACTCGCCGCACGGATTTGTTGACTGTAGAATTGTTCAACCATTAATATTATTATGTTTTATAACATATGTTTGTGTTTCATAAAATGTTCTTTGTAATTTTCTTATCTATTACCATCTATTACTCCAAGGATCCGGCCCAACAAAAACCAGCGGTTACCAGTTTTTCAGGTTTCTGTTGGAGAGTTTCGTCTCCAGTTCCACGCGGGACACCTCGGATCGGTCGACCCACCTGAGACACTCACACTCAGTGGGTCGATGAGTTGGGTGCCTAGTCCCGAAGTCCGAAGTCCAAAGACCAGAGGTTTTCCTAGTGAAGTAAAGGAAATGCCCGAAATCAGGTAGAATCAAGACAATTCTTTTTCACTCCCAGGGTTGTTTGAATGCGTGGTTCAAGAAACACTTGTAGGATCGACCTGGAGGTTCTGCACTACTTCTTGTTTTTTTCGGCCAGGTCGGTGTTTGGTAGAAGAGCAACGTTTTTTTTTCTCACCAGGTACGTTTGAACCGTTTGGATACGAAGTAATTTTCAGGTGGAATTTTCAAGCATTGGTGCCTTGGCATGGATGACACCGGTGACCATTCGGAGGGTCGGGAAACTGGCGACCCTACCAAGTCCACCGATGAGGTTAGAGGGTCTAGCAGCTCTATGGCGAGTGGGGGATCGCGGATGACGTGTCGTGTCCTTCAGACACCTGGGGCTCAGAGAATTCCTATAAGCCTCCTATAGGCGAGCTTTGAGCCCTTGTACCCGGACAAAAGAAACAAACATCATGCAGTCCGAAGTGCCAGCCTCGCATCCGAGGAATTTGGTCCTGACCAAGTTTGGCCGCCTGCCCACCAAGTATGTGCCTGGGCGATCCGATAGTTGCTCCCGGTTGCGAGACATTGAACTAGAGAATTGGACCATTGGAAAACTGGAATGACTCAATGACATGAATAAGTTATAAAAAATTAAGAAATTTCCTCCGCAAACCAGTGGGTTTGGGGATGTCATGTATTATGTTTCTGAGGTCTAAGAACCGCATAGTCACATTTGCTTGCCAGCTCAATAGCTTGGGGCCATCCCCATAACTACACCATATTTAGGGTTTGTCCCATTACCTGTAACAGCCAGTAAACAATTATCACTATTTTGGAACAAGGCCTGCAACTGAACCATCATCATATATCATCATCCACTGAAACCTGGTAATAGGATAGACCCAAACCATATTCCTTTACTTTGGCACTGTAGGTTCCATACCTCACGCAGCCCAGCCAGTACACGTGTTTTTTTTGTTTGCACCTTCCACGCACCCCACACACTACATGGTTATATGCACGAGCTCTGACGAACACATCACATGCAAAGTGGAAAACACACAACTGCTCATAAAGGAAAGGGACCGTCTTCCTTTCAAAACACCATTTTCCATCCACCTACTAACCACATGTGTACTGTGTTCCTTGGCTGTGTTCCTTGGGGCTCAGCCTTCCAGCCATCGGTTGCCGAGGATCAGAATGACCCCCAGGTACTGCGGTTGTTGCCCTCGAAGTGGGTCCCGGAGATTGGCTTGCCCTTGGCCAGTGGCGTCGGCCGTGGCTTCATGACCAAGTGGTGGACGCTTTGGTGAGACCAGCGAGGGTAGAGGGTAGAGGGTATAGAGGGTAGGGAAGAAAGGATGGGGGCTTCTAGCTGCCTTGCAGTTAAGGCAGCTAGACAGTTCGTGGTAAGTCTTGACATCATGACTCCCCCGAACATTCTAAACTTGTTCAGGGGGTCTGTGTATGATGGTTTAAAACCTCCAACTAATTCCACTGCTTAAGTGCACTGCTTCATGCTGTGGGTGGGACAGCGCCCAGGGGAGCCCCGACCATGTCCGGCGACGTTTTTCTGCACTGTCGCCGGCGACGTCCCAGGAAGGGCTTTCGATCGGGATTGAGAAGACGATACGTGAGGCGAGCGAACGTGGGCCACGTACCCTGCCCGTTTGCGGTTGAACGAGTCGAAGAGCAGAAACGAAGTGGAAGAGACGAAAAACGGTGCGGAGGTTGGAGGTTGGTTGGAGATACACTCCGACTCACTAACATGGAAGTGGAAACCACCCGGTTTGTAGAGGAAACTAGCTAGTAGCGTTCCCAAAGGCAATCTTCCATTGCATTTCCATGATGCGTCGGAGGGTCTCCGCTTTAACGAGACTGATCCAGGACCCTAAGCCGGTGGGGAAATCGGTGTGAGGCACCGAGACTACGGCGGATGGGCGGGTTGGAGTCTTCCACAGCTTTCTCGGTGCATGTGGTGCTCCTCGGCACCATCCCCGGTCGCCAAGTGAAATGCTGCAATGTGGTGGTTTTGGTTCCTCCGTGGCAGTGAAGGAATTCGATACAAAGAGGGGAAAGCGGAGGGGGTGTTGGCGGACCCGAAGTGGGTGCATTCTATGAGTCATGAGAGTCTAACGGGGCCATGTGGAGAGGCATGGTTTCTTCCCTCGTGTTTTCCGCGGTTCCGTTTGGGGAGATGAGACCCCTTAAAGGGCAAGGGTTTGGAGAGGGATGAAGCCCTGGGTGATGTTTTGGTTTTAAAGCTTTTCCCAGGATTCGCATGGCGTGGCAATTTGGGTGCCCCCCCTATCAAAGGATTTTGGATGTGGCACATCAAGTAGAGAGAGAGAGAGAGACTGACTGTATCATGGGTTGAATGACTGGAGGCTATCTACTTTCACGGTCTCGCCGGGCTTTGTCAATGTGTGCCAACCTAGCACTCAATGATCACTGAATGTAAAAGTCAGGCAGCCTGCAATCAACATGTTTTTTATTGATTCTATGTTGGGGGTGGGTTGATGGTTGCTCTGTCTCTGTCCAGGCCCCGCTTCGAGACCTGGGATTTGGAGGATGTGCCGCAGGCGGCGACCGGCTGAAAGTAGGTATAGGTAATCCTTGAGCTTTGGGTCAGCGTTGTAACTGTTCTGAGGCTTCGTTGAGCCTCCGTTGAGGCCTTTCGAAACACTTAATATGAACCTTCTATCAGCAAACGCTGGCAGAACAGACCAGAGATGCAAGGGAGTGAAACTCGAAGCAGCACATGCCAAATTACCTGCGAAATTTGATACTCTAATCAGCTAGAACTTTTGTTTGCCCCCTTACTTCTTTGCCTGAGGGATTGAAACAAACTTTGCTTGGCCTCATTGCACTTCTAGTTCTAGGGCTTTCACATGGTTTTCGCATGGTTTTCCTCAGACACGGAACTTCGACCGTGTTCGACTTCATTGTAGGGAGTGGTCGTGGGGTCCGTGTTCCGCCGGAAGCGGATCCGTGGCCGCAGCGATGGCCGTGCCGCGATCGCCTCGCCGCATGTGTCGAGGTGATACTGGACTTTGCTCGGCAACAGGGCGCCGAGCAGGTACGCCGAGGGATGAGAAGGTGAGAAGGGGAGAAGGCAGCGAAGCAGGTGGAGGTGAACCAGGTGGAGGATGACTTGAAAGATGCATCATGATTGCAGGGGAACATTGACCAGTGCAATGGAAACAAATAGATTGGATTCCTGTCGCCCTGTCGCATGCTGGTGTTTGCTCGCTCATGACTTGTCCGACTGTGGAGGTTCGCTTTTCCATTTTGGTCGAACTGAGGACATGTTGTCCTGAGAAGTATATATTCGCAAGCTTTCCTTTTCCTGGTGTACTTTGGCCCGAAGTCAACGCGATTTACTATATATATGTTTGCCATTTTTCACCATATGCCATATGCGGAACCACAAACTGTCCAGCAATGTGTGATCTTGGTAGGAGTAGGAGGTGTGTGTGTGTGTTTTTCTTTTTTTGGGTTGCCTCAGCCACAACGGGTTTCCTTGAGATTTGGATTGTCTCAGTGTTTGCTTCATCCTCAGACCTGCTGCTTCCAGCACTTGGACTTGGAGGGTGAACGTAAAAGGCATCTAATATCCAATTATATCAGCAAATTTGCATAGTCGTGTGAAGTGGACAGGGCAGCTGATGGAAGTGTCACATGCTGGGTTCTCGTCGGTTTTCATGAGTAACTCGACCTCTTGCGCGGCATTGCAGAAGATTTAGCGTTTAATGCAACGGCGTTCTTGCCTGTACTTGCGGTGTTTTTCCCCGTACTTGCGGCGTTTTCCCCCTACATATGGCGTTGTTCTCCGCACCCTCTCTGAAGGAGACTCCAGGTGGCAGAAAGACGTGTCACAATCGATTGTTTCAGCCATTGCGTGATCAACATGTGATTAATAAACAAAACGGTGATTCTTCTTTTGTGACAGCGTTTGCACTTCTCTGACGGCGTTTTCACTTTCCAGGGAATGAGTTACTGCAAAAATAATTGCCTCAACAGCCTACGGCAACAATTATTGCCTCGGGAGGGTCTAGGTATATGAGAATCCTTCTTTGACTGGGTGAAGTAGCTACCCAAGATCTTGTAGGATGTGCTGAGGCTGCTATGGTGTGACACAAATCCCCTGGAAAACCTACTTCCTTCGAGAACCTCGGAGTTTTGCCGGAGGCCAACCTTGTTGCCTCCTCAGTGGGCGACACCATGGCGCGCGACTGGGGTTACTGGACCGGCCACTCCATAGGCAGGATGCGGGGAGATGCGGGGCCCGCTCCGTCGAATGCTGGTAACTCCTTGCAGTCGTTCGGTGTTCGATGTTCGGTGTTCGATCCGGTGCATGGAGCACGTGGGACGGATTTTTCTTTGCGCATGCAACACCTAAAACAGCCGTTAACGGGCCCAAACGCCTGTGGTGATTGCAATGGCCTGTGCCCACTTGAGAGCTGGCACTTCATTCATAATTACGGGATTTACGGAGTCAATCATAAAATCCCCAAGCTCACTCTTCAAAGCTTGCCTTCATTTGGATCTTGTGCGCAGGTGTTGTTTCGGGCTTGATCCTTTGTGTCCTGGCAGAGGGCGAAGGACGAAGGACCTCACACCGAAGCTCCACGCATTCACTCCACATCACCAGTCACCAGCACGTCGTACCAGCACCGACACCTCGACGGATGAGCTGACCGTCTTGTGGATGAGCACACCTACGCCACGCCACCCACCACAGAAGGACAAACCCCTAGGGCTCCAACCATCTCCTCAGAAGGTGGTTAGACCCCCAAAACACACCCCAACCACCGAACCTCAGGAGGTGGTTGGAGCCCTAGGGAACATTCACAAACCCTATAGGCTCCACCAGTCGTGCCTGAGGTTGACTGGGGTGGGCCTGGGTGCCAGGAGGGTCTCGGAGGTACCCTCTCGTTTCGTTTCGGTGCGGTGCGGCCTGGATCGAGCTTTGGAGCTGGTCATGTTCGCCGAGGCATGGTGGGGGGCTCCAAGTCGCTAAAGGACGATCGTGGCATGGTCATCGCGGATGGCCATTTGGAGGAGGACCGCCACTGGGCGCAGACGGCAGACAGCAGTCATAGGTGGGTACTGAGGAAGGAGTGGGATGGGCTGGGAAGGAGTGGGAAGCGACCAAAAGCAAGATAGGCTATTAGTGATGGGGGGTCTAATGATACACCATGGTAAACCACTGTGTTTTTGTTTGGTGTGTGTGTGTGTGTTTTGGGAGCGTGCACAAGGGGATGAAGAAAGAGCAGATACGTTTTGTGAGCAGTGTGACATTCAGCTCCTTCGGCTACGTTGGGTTTGCGTGACTTCGACCCCCAAAAGCTGCGACCCCCCCCGCAAATGTTTGTTTGATCCTCCAGCTGACACGGAACCTGGAGCTTAGTTGTAGTTTGGGTCTGGCGCCAGCAAACCCATATTTTTTGGTCCGTCAGGGATTCACCAGACCTGCAACCAGGCCCCATCATCCACTGAAACCTGGTAATAGGATAGACCCAAACACATACTCTTCGTACTCGATCTGCCACAGCCCAGGTGAGTTGCTGGCCTTGCAGCAGTACATGGGAGATGCTTGGGTCAGCATATTGGATTTGATATGGGCTTATGGTGGCAAAGAGAGTTGGATATGTTTGGTGCGTTTCTTTCAAGCGGCAATGATTTAGGATGTTCTACAACTTTCCTGCTGAACTGGTTGGCTGGTTGTTTCAATGTTCTCGAAGCTGTACAGAGCACGATGCACTTTACCATTTACATCCATTTACCATTAGACCATATTAGATGTGGTTGATTGGCCCGCAATTCCATCCAGGAATCCAGGCCCTTTTACAGTTTTCCTTGCAGGTCCACTAGTCCACCAAGTCAAATCTCAGCCTGGACTAGTCAACCGGGTCGTTGATTGTGCTTCTGCCCGGCGGCTCGTTTAAATGTCCAGCTTGAGGGGTTGGGGTGTGAATTGGCCGAGGATTCCAAGTACAAGGGCACTTGAGAGTCTCTCAGTGGCTCCAGAAACTCTGGGACCTCCATCGGCGGTTGAAAAGGCTGAAACACCTATCGATCGGGTCAGGCTGGACAAGCTAACTTGGACCGATTTGCTGCCGAGTGTAGAGAGTGCGGCCAGCAATGAATGATCCGACGTCATATCATCTACAGTGGTTGAAGAGAGTGGATGGCACTGGCGCACAAAGATTATCAAATATGTTTTTTCTTATATGATAAGGTCCGTTTTTCAACCACCAAAACTTGGGTAACTTGTGCCATGTGAAACACCGGTGTATTTACGTATAGTTAGTTTGTTTTCATATGTTTTTTCCTTTTTTTGGGGGCCAACATTGCAAAAAGACAACAGCTCATCAAGGAGGACAACAGCTCCTAGTAGCGTCAGAGCATCGACGCTGGACATAGATGCGGTACACCAGGCATTGCAAGAAAAGGATATTTTTTCATTCATATCACGAAAGGTAGCCTGGTAAGGACTACCTTGAGTTTGTCTTGCGAAGCAAGTGTTGGGACGTCCGTGTCTCCCTCCTCTCAAGTATTAACATACCTAGCACTTCCAACGGGTGCCCTGTCTGGAGACCTGTAAGTAGGGTAGGGTAGGCTATTGGACACCCAGAACGGATGATCCTGGTATTCACCGTTTAAAGCATTGTCAGATTTAAACTTTGTAGGTCAGGTTCACACAACTTCCTGTTGGTCATTCACAGTGGGTTGCTTGAGGTCAGGGTTTCGGGTATGCAAATCAACTTGTATGGCGTTGAATCCGTAAACTGAGCGCTAAGGTCCCATCAAACGCCGTTCTAAACACTTATGGATGATACTACGCTTCTGGCATTTGGTGCACTGGGCTCCGGGCACTTACGATTGCTCAAGCACACAAGGGAAATTCAAAGCCCTGAGAGTCTTACCCTGACTTCAATAAGCCCGGGCAATCGGTCCACAACGCCAACACACTAAGCTTTGGGCTTTAGAAAGTTGCCAAACATTGTCTATGGGCCTGCAGAAGCAAAGAAGTTCAGGGAATGTTGGAGCAGTTAGAAGCAAATTTGTTTCCCTCCATGAGCCTGCTACAGTCGTGCAGTTGAAAGACTGCGGTAGTTGCTGAGTTGAAGAGCGCACTACCAAACCCACCATCCCACCATCCCAGTTTGAGCCGTTCCCTCCACCTACTCCTCACTTTCGTCTTTGGCCGTCCTGAAGTATATTATTTTTATGTAATAATTAGTTTTAGTTTTTTTTTCAAAGGATGTTGTTAGTTTATATATATATATATCGGTACAGTATATCTTCTGTTGTTGCAATATGCTGGGCCAGTGAGCAAGGGCAACTGAAGATGACAGTTGGCTACATGTTGACCTTCTCAAATGATTCAAGTTACAGTGGATTGAGAGTAGATGGCACTGGTACCCCAAGATGTTTGTTATATAGGGCTTCATATAAACCACCTTTTGGGGATTGTGCCATCTACTCGCAACATCAGTGGCCACAAGTGTACTTGTCGGTAAGCACATGGATTCATGGTACTGTGTTTGTGTTTTGGCCTGGTGGGACATACAGTACTGGTGCCCATGCTGGGCCAAAACTGTGTGAGAAGATGGAACGCTGAGATATTGAGGAGTGAAGAATTGAAAACGTTGTTCCTGAAAAAGCAAGCTGCTGGATTTGTAGCTTGTCATCCGAGCTGAGGCTTCAGATGCAATATGATGCTCCTCCCAAAAACGCACCTCTCAAGAAAACATCCAACGGTTGCCGGCACTCCTCCCGTGAGAACAAACAGGAAATAGGAGAAGGAATATACAAGGTCTAAAGAGAAAGAAACATGAAAAACACGGAACATGGTCCATACATGTGCATACTGTAGTCCAAAAAATGAACGGCATCAAGCTTCCGGAATTGCCAATGATATTTGTATGTACTGTATCTCCCATGAATTCCCAATGCAAATGGAGCTGATGAGGATCATTTCCGCCGCTCCATCTGAAGGACTGCGATCCATATGAGGACAGCATAGGACGCCAGTGGATCCAACATAGGACGCAACATGCGGTTACAGGCACTTAGGAGCCAGTCGGGATAGCGCGAATCTACATGTGTGCAAAAATTGATGCCATAGCACCGGGATCTCCATAGTTGCTTCTAGTGCTACAGGTTTTGAGGTCCTTATATAAACTGCAAGGCAACGATGAAGCTGGCAACTAAGTGTGTAGGTGAATTAGTCTCAGAGGTTTTTGTGGCTCGCAGCTGCCCTCAAACAATGAGAGGTCAAACATACTTTACAGCTGAGAATGCTAGGGGCAGTGGTGGCAGAGGACCCTCTACGCGTTCATCCATGATAGCTTGAGGTAGTTACACAGTTCAGCGAAAAAGGTTTATGCGTGCGTTTGTGATTCTCCCAGACAGTGTTTTTCACTTTGGACATGTCCATCAGGACTTTGCCCATAGCACCGAATGTGGGGTCCACAAATCTCAAATCTTCCATCCAAAGCCCCAGAGTACCACATACACAATCGAGTCTTCTCGCTTGGCGCCTCTGCAAGAACTGCCATGGGAGAGGAGGGCAAGAAGGGAGAGGAGGTGCTGAGAACCCAAGAAATTATTCATGTCCAAGAACTCTGCTGAAGCAAACATGGTTTCATGATATACCAATATCATCAAATATATCAATGGAGTAATTTGGTCAGCTTTGTTTGATTCAAGCACCAGTTTTGCGAAGATTGGTTGCGCTCTTGCAATTGAACAACTTGAGATATACCACCTTGGCAAGAGATAGCTGACCGCTAACCGCAACGATCGTGTTGATCGGTGTATTGGCCGTGGTCCCAGAACTGAGTGATCATGCAGCAACTGGAACATACTAGATCCAGCAAGAGCGTTGGAGGTGAACCGCCATTGACGTTGTAAAACTTTGCAATCACTGTTTGTTTTGGTGATAGGGAACCCTCAAAAACGCGATACCTGTTCCAGGAAGATGCTAACTCCCAATTATATTTTGACATGTTTTGGAACACATTGCTTTTAGAGCGGTGCCCAAACCGTCGTGGTGTGTCGCTCACCTCAGTCCAGTGCTAGCCACCTCCGGTACTCGTGTAGAGCCACAACTCACTAACGATACTAGCGCTTCCTCATGCCGCGTAGCAAAGAGCTTGTCGAAGGTCTTTGCAATTTGTTGAAACAATGTCTTACATGTGGGAGCTTGACACCACAAAGAATCCTCCTCGAGAGAGATTGTAAGGTTCTTTGTTTTTTGCTTTGGACTGTGTCGAGTGGCGGCAGAACCCGGATGGCCACGCCGCCAGCGGCAGAACTCACAGTGTCCCTCACTCCGAAACCACCAGGCCTCCAAGGTCAACGGTGAAATACGTCAAGTGCCTTGGACGCAGGGCCGGTGCAGGGCATTCGCAGGTTCCCAGGGGCATCCAGGGGCTGCGGGGTGCGCTTCGTGGAAAGCAGCACCGAAATGCCGTCGTCACTCCACGCAGAAACCTTGGAAGATGTGGAGAAATAGACCAAATGCATTGCCAGATTCAGATGTGTGATCCATTCCTTCGGTTTTGGCAGGGGAAACGGGGATGGGCAAGTGCATGAATACCCGCCAAGGGATGTGCAGACATTTGGGAGCCCTGCATACTGCGCTCCAAACCTGTGTCGCCGGGATATGTCAGGTCGTAGGCAGCAACATTTTGGAGCGGAATCTTGGAAAGGCACCGACTTTTCCATGGACTCCAAGAAGGATCGCTGGAAGACTATTGCCACTCAAAGGTTTTTGCAAAGCCATTTCTTGCAGGATGCGTCACTTTCTCACTTTCTGTGGTCGCAGCTTCCCCGAACAGAAGCCCTTTGGAGAACCGGCCATCCTCTTTCCTTCGCTGTGAGGTCAAGCTCCCTGTTGGCTGGGAAGGCGAGAACTGCGAACGTGTGGAGTGCGAGTGAGACAGAGAGGGTGGGGGCCACTGTGTCTTGGACCACACCTTGACAAGGCGTGTCGAAGATTGGCAAGCCCAAAAGGTTGACGTCTCCATCCACGAACCGTAGAAGATGTGTCGAAACACAACCGGTATCGGTATCAGACCGGCCCCAAAAGCTGTGCAGGAACCTGCGTTGCCGCTCCAAACATGCCACAACGTCACGTCATCGTTCTCCTGTCTTTCTTCACCCCTGGGACCTCAGCTCCGTTCGACACCAGGCCTCTCATTGAAGAGCCATGAGGGACGATTGCTGGTCTCAGAAGTGCCGAAGGTCGGTACATCGCCTCGCAACCCGTCAACGGCGGAGATCGCGCACGGTACACCGATGTGCTGGTTCCGAGACCGGAACCGGGCGTGGCGTGGGCATGGACCGGACTGGAAGAGGATGTTCCTTTACAATCGGTGATGGGGTTCCATGTTGATCCTCCCGGGCGTAGCTGGTTTAGTCTGAATTTGCTCCTTTGAGCCTCCCAGAAGCAGCACTACGTGGAAGCTGCCTTTGCTAGAGATGGCTGTACACTTTTGCGCGATTTGATCATTCATGCGGCATGTAGTGTTTTTATGTGTTTTTGCTGTTTGGGGCAGAGGGGGTCCAGGCCGCCAAATCATGAGAATACCTAGAAGATCCTTTGGGCAGAAATTCTTGCCTTTTTCGGGAAGAGCGGCTCTTCCCGTCCTGGGGCGGAAATCAGCTGTTTGCCGCGGAAATGCTTTTGTTGCCGCGAATATTCCCTTTCAGGAATCCAGTGAGACAAAGACTACATATTCTAGAGGAGTTGAATATTTTTGTGGTTTACATTAGGCATCTCTGCCTGGAACGGTCACCGCAATGAGAAAAAACAATTTGCAGCGCTTAAGTTTCCACCTCCACCTGCAAATCTGGCTACCATCATATCATATATTATGTGTCTTTGTTTTTGAAGGTTTCTTGTGCGGAATGATCACAAAAGGGCTAAAATCCGTCCAAAGTTGAAAACACCTGGCGCGAAAATGCCCGGGAAAAGGGCAGAAATACCCGGGAAAGAGGCGGAAATACCCGGGAAAACGGCGGAAACACCCGGGAAACCGGCGGAAATTTCCTGGTAGAAGGCGGGATTCAAGAACAGTGCCTTTGATGCCTTTGAAGGGCTTGAACATATGTCGCAGCCTCTTTGTGAATGTCATGAATTTAGAAGTGTCAAAATCGTAGGGTGTCAGATCTTGAGATGTGAAGCTATGCAGAACGATATGTGGCCTGCAATCATGGAAGAGACAACCTGGTAGGTTGTAATGGTTTTTGAGTTGCTATGTTGGATGTTGCTTGAGGCAAAAATTCCCTGCTGCCCGCGGAAATTCCTACCTGGCGCGGATTTCCCCTAAATCCGCGAATCCTCCCGGGCAAATCGGACTGAGGCAGACATTTCTGCCCCGGGTGCATCTAGGTATGGCTATAGTGAAGTGGCCCGAAAGAACCAAGATGGACAACCCTTCAACGCCACGCCCCCCAAACGAAGACACATGGATGTCATGGAGGTGCCGTGGTTTTGCTTGCCACGACCGGAACGGAGAGAGAGAGAGAGAGAGCCCCTGATCCACAGGGCTCACTGGCCGACCGATGCATCCAGCGAGGCCTGCTTCTCTTCTAAAAACTTCGAAAGCTCTGGTGCCCAGCCGCAGGCACTCAGCTGTTTGGTTGTTTCATGTTGTTTCGTTCTTTTTCCCGAAGGCCCGAAGGCGTCGCGAAGGGTTCTCAATGTTTTTTAAACTCTGGGCGCTTGTTTTTGGAGCGCGTGTTGGTCAAGTTTGCGGGTTCCTCTTTGTGTTTGTTGTTCCTTTACTTGCATGGCGCCAAAAAAGTTACTGTAGCGTAGCTAACTCCTGTGTATTTGTCCTTTTGCCGCTATCACTCACAGGCGATTGAGCAGTATGAGGGGTGAGTTGGTTTGATCGGCTTCGATCGGCAGTGCAGCAGTGCAGCACCGAACTTTTTAAACACCACGTCCGGTTGCATGCACTATTCAATCACTTGTAAATTGTTGATTTGGGTCGGGGGTTTAGGCTTGTTGCGGGAAACAAAGGCGTCCTCAAAACAATGAAAACTGCAAAAGGCGTCCTTCCTAAGGAGGTTTTCCGGACAAAGCCACGGTACCCACTCCAGCACATGTTCTACCAAACAATAGTTTAAGAAGTAACAGAAGAAGTATACAAAAAACAGCCAAACAAACAATCAACGAAAAGCAATCAAAGACGTTTTACTCCGTTGTTCTCCTTTCCCTGCAGCAATGATTCACAAAGTCGTGCAAGGCACTATGAACCTCAATCAATTTACACGGCTTTTGAGAGCTAATGGCCAACTAACAATTCCGTCTCGAAAGTCAATTGCAACGGGTTTGGGTTGGTGTTTGATCGAAGGTGCCCCCGCTGCCGCGCCGGAATCGGGAAATGGTGTTTGTAGATATTTCCTCGGCGAACTCGGCGCAAACAAGCACAAAAACCCAAGTGAAACAGAGACCCTGAACAAGAAGTCCAGACAAACATGGGCGCACATATGCAAGCTAAGAAGAACACCTTCAATGCCCGCAACCAACATCCAGCTGCACAAAGCACGAGCCCAAATGCAAGCTCCAGCTCCAAACCAGATAAATCCATAGCTGCTATAGGCTATAGCTGCGATTGTGACCTGTTGTTTGGCTGGCGAATTCTGCAAGAAGCAGTGCTCCAAGAAGCCTCGCAGCCGAGCGTCCATCACATGAAGCATCGCCCTGGCCGCCGAACTGGCCGCATGCGGGCGACGTTGCACATCCAATCAATGCACACCCAAGCTGGCACGAGGCCTCTTCTTGCGCGAAGAGCTCCATTTGGTGTAAAGATGTAAAGAATTCTGGAGAGTGCTGCTTACGAGACAACATGCACCACAGCAATCCCTCTGAGATAGGTCCAAGCTCGAGAGTGCAGGTGTCACACCTCGTCCCTGAAGTCGGACCTGCCCTGTACGACGCCCTAGCGGTCGGACCTGCCCTGGGCGGAGCACAGAAGGCTTCTGCGCCGAGCTGAGCTCTGGCTCTCCACCAGGTGCTGCCTGGGCCAGGTGCCTCCCATATCCTTCGGGTGGAGGGCGGTGAAGGACGCCTGGTGAGGGGGGTGAGTGCTCAGTTGGAGCACATGAAGGTTGAGGGCGGCTCAGCGCCCTAAACGCCGAAGAATATCAAGCAACAAGTGAAGTTCTCAGGCCAAGCAGGCCGCCTACGGAAAACGAAGTCGTAACTGTTTTCGCCCTTGCATCCAGCAAACATCTCAATACAACAACGGAACACCATTTGGATAGCAATCATCAATGCTGCAAACAAAGTAGGCAGCACCATGCTGATCATCATGAGCAACTCGCAACTGTACTAATAAAACAGTCCACGTTACCGTTGTCAATTACTGTTCTAAGTTCTATTGCATCAAACGCATGACTCATGCCTTTGATGCCATCATTACATTCGGCCTTTTTTCGTTGCTCCTTCGCCTCATTCAGCTCCGTAAGTCATGCCAATCTGTTGAGCTCACGTTCGTCCACCTGGCGCCACCCATCCAGGTGGCGGGCGTCTTCGAGGGCGATGAGATCGTGCTGGTGAACGGCGAGCCCGCTGCGAGCGCGGGACCGCAGGGAGACAAGCTGCAGACATCTGCAGACCTTGTCACATCATTCCCAAAAAATGGCAGTGGGACGGGCATATGAATCCATTACAGGCAGGGGTGGTTGAAGTCGGGGTCAATGTAGGCATATTGAGTGTTTGGGATTTGTGTAGTGAGCATCATGACATCGATGTTTTTCGCAGAAGTACTGGCTGGTGGCATTGTTTCGCATGGTGGAACTGCATGTCCATCAGGGAGACTCGTTTTGTGGACTTTTTTTTTACAGGCGTTGCCGTGGGCTTTGGGTTTGTTTTGGAGTCACGGCTCAAATTTGCTCAGCCATGTTGATTGGTTGCTTTGTTTGCCCTTTTCATGTGAATAGTGTGTTTGGTAAGCGTTCTTTTTGATTGCATGCGACCTCGAATCTGTGATTCCAGTACGTACAGTGGATCACCATTCTCGAACCTTTGACCATTCCCTCCGCATTCAGCACCAGTTGCTGTGGCCCTTGGGCCGCCTAGGCGTGGAGCAGAAGATCCTGGCGGCAGGTGACCCCTGGAACGCTTGTTCCTCGAGCACTCCTTCACACCCTGTGGGCTCCAAGGGAAAGCGTGGGCCCCAGCAGTTGGTTTGAGCGGCCACACATATAATTATATAGGGCGTTGGGGGGTATGCGAGGGCTTTTCGGGGCAGCTGGAAGAAGTAAATACATTAAGAATTAATCAACATATGATATGTCACTCCGAAATTCCTGTCATGCCTCGCTTAAAAGAATATTTCAGCCTGCTACCGGGAGACGCTCTTCGCAGCCAATTGGCACAGCCATTGCAGAGTAGTTGGTAGCGACTTTCGAGCAACCCACATGGGTCAGTCGAATTTCAAAGCATAGATCACGACAGGATTGATTGGAAAGTGCATCCACATCTCGAAGAATATCAATGCGTTGAATATCATTAAGCCGTTTGATTTGTCTTCTGGCTACCACATGCTACTTCTCCTGGGAGATCTCCTCCAGGAGTCGGTCTCCTTGGGTGGTTTGATTGCTTCGTCCCAGCCACGATGTGGCAGTGGATGTGACACAAATAGCACCCCTAACTATAACCTCCATCAATAGCACCCCTAACTAAACTGCAGACTGCTTCAGATTCCACTCACCTAGAGACCTCGCTCGGTCTCCTCCGCCCACCCGGAGTGGTGCCTTTGACCTCGCTCGGCCAACAGCGGAGCGGAGACGAAGAACCGATGGCGAATACACGTGGGCCCCGGGCGACCCGGGTCTCATTCCTGGTGCCCTTCGTGGGCATCAAGCAGCAGCTGAGAGAAGGACCGGGTTGCGGAGCGGTTCCGCACCGCGCGTAACTCGGCGGGAGCGCGGCTTCGGTGCAGTGCGGTTTCCGTCACTTGGGGGCCCTGGTAAAGAACACCTGGACCTTCCAACTATGCAACATGTTTGGCGCACGTTGGCTGGCTTTTGAGATCAAAAGGCGCCCATTTTTGCACAGTTGGAAGATCCAGGTATGTCAGACCCGCAACTCAACCCTGCTTACTCTATGTGAGCATTCTTGGCTGATGCAATGGTTGGCTTGTGGGATTGCAGGGCCCACCCTGTAGCGAGCGTTGGCGAGTACCCGCGAATGTTGGGACGGGAGTAGGCCTTCTACTTCCCTAGGAAGGTAAATGTCACAAGTAAATGATTATGCGATTCCGAACTTCGGATCGCCCAGTCAGACCGGTTTTGAAAAAATGGTCAGTCCTGGACTCCCAGAGTAATCTTATTCTTGTGCCTACTCAGTAGGCTCGTGGTGTTGAGAGTCAAGGTGCTCATGGAGCGCCTTGAAGTTGGTGTTCTATCATTCTCAGTTGTTGGGCAGTCTATAGCACCGGTGGTCAATGGACACTCAAATAGACATCCCGACAGGAGGGTCCTGGTAGCATCTAGCATGAATTGTGTGCCTCACTTGCATTCCCGTCAGCATTGGCATATGTTTCATGGCCCTGAGAGTTCACCGGCACATCGACACATTCATCAGCGAGCACCACCGACAGTTTCTTTTTGCAGGACTTCCATGGAAGTCGATTGCTGTCCTAGCACTGCTGATGGTGGCAAGCGTGATTTTGCGATGCTCCGGCTGGTGCCCTGCATGTCTCACCACAGGCGACTGGTTTGGTGGATAGGATCTTTAGAAAGACCTGCAAGCGCAAGCCTTGCCAAGGAGGTGATGGAACCCAGACCAGACGAATGGGTCTTGAATACTTACATTATAGGGTCGTAAGTGGGGTAAATGGTAATGTAACTATTCCAGTCCCATGTCTGGGGAAGGACATGGGACGGCAAGAGGAGCTTTGTGTTCACTACGAGTTCTGGTGCCTTGGCTTTCGGCGTGCGGCAACACAACCTCGTCGCATCGCACCGTGAAGAGGTGCTCCGGGGCGAATGCTTTTGGTGGCGAACCTGCTGATGACTTTCATTTTGTCACCTGGCCCTTTTTGCAGAAGTCTGTGATTGGATGGTGAGAGTGGAAAGCACAGGTTGAACGCCTGAGAATAGACCTGATGACCTGAAGGCTTAAAGAATAGACGAAGGTTGTGGCTATGAAAGGGCAGCCATTGAGAAACTTTGATAAGCAATATTCAGGCATATGATTGATCACCTGCTAAGGCTGGTGCCGCAGGGTATTCCAGCTGAACTCATGCTGCTGTTCATTGGTGCTGTTTGCAGTCTTGCGGGCATCCTGACCAGCAAGGCTCTGGAGAACCACAGTAAGAAAAACCGTGTCAGCATGTCACACCACGCCTCAATTTGAAGTGTATATATATATAGTGTTTTGAGCACTGTTTTGTTATTCCAGTGCTGATTCTGGTCGGACACGGCATTTGGGTGAACCATTGTGGTCTTCGATTGAAACCTTGCAATCATGAAGGCACACTGACATCCTTCCCCCAAAGCATTTGCACAGGGCGAAGAGTACTCCTCAGAGAAGAGTTACCCACTTCATCATCTCCATCATCATCATCATCATCATCATCATCATCATCATCATCATCATCATCATCATCATGTCGTGATTGAGCCGTCATTAACACCACCACGAGGGCGTTCATCCTTAAGTATTGTGACACTGTGCAATGTGTGTTTGAAGATATTGTGTGTGTGCATGTCAGTTAACAGATGTACTCTAGGGTGCGCAGATGAGCTGGCAACTTTGCAGTACAAATCTAGTACGGAAAGTGGTGCCTAGGAAATATCATGATGTCGCCGTGCCATGCTGTTACATGATGCTGTAGGCAGTGTGCCTCTTCCACTCCCTGCAAACTGTTCACAGTCCTGTCAAACTCCAAGCAGCGCTGCAGCTGTTGGAAGAGGTAGTCTTTGGGTGTCAAACCAGAAGCATGTTGCAAGTCCAGAATCAACTCACTTGCGCGTGTGCCAAATGCGACGCGCCTGGGTCGCGTGTCGCCGCTGGTTGCGGGGTCCGTGGCGTGTGTGGCCTCGGCGCTGTGCCCGAACGGGGAACTGGACAGCATGCGCGTGTTTCAGCGCGGCGGACGGCAGCAGTTTATGGCTTTAACCCCCCGTTCTGAAGGGTTCTCTTTGAAGAACAGCTACTAACTTCATCTCTTCATCATACATCATCATCATCATCATCATCATCATCATCATCATCATCATCACAAACGTCGTCATCACATGTTTTTAGGATTGGTTTTTGAATGCGGTGTTTTATCGTTAAATATCGTTAAACATCCCCTATTATAATATATCTTACTCATACTGTGCTTTCGGGCCGCGCTGTCATCTTCTTGTTTGTGGCATGCTTTTTTGGGAGGGTGCAGTTTTCGACGCCAATGCTGAGAACAAGCCAGGAACTTTTCCAGGGATGTGCATCAGATGCAGTTTCTTGCCTGCAATGCCGCTGGTTGGGGGCGTGAACTTCCGTGTGAAGTTCTGTGGCAAAACACGATGTTGCCGTATTTTGCATGTTTTGGAACTTCTAACGCTGTAGCTACTACACCCTTTCAGCAGGGGCCTTTTCCAGTGCAAGCCTTCTCCAGGTGAAGCAGTGTTTACCTTGGCCTTTCGCAGCGTCCGTAGAGGCCAAGTGCGCCAAGTGCGTCTGTCTGCTCGTGTCGCACGTTCGAAGCGTCGCCACGTTCGCCCTCGAAAGTCCCATGGCCGATTTGGTCGTTGAATCATTGACACGACCTGAAACCTGACTGCCGACCCCCTGGCACCACCCCTGGCCTGATCGGTAGTCCTAAGCCAGTCCCAGACGGGTCGTGTCTCATTTGGAGCTGAAATCTGCCAAGGTCGTCACCTTGGCACTGCTGTTTCCGATCATGAAAGCTATGGGCGCCTTGGCGGAGCATGGCTTGCTAGCATGTGCTTCTCATGTTGCTTTGCTCGTAGCCCAATCTCTCCAATCTCCATTTTCCCACTGAAGTGCTTGTTGCAGACAAAGATGGAGTGAGAAGGAGTGTGCCAGCAAGCTGGGTGTTATGTTTTTTTGGAACTCGTTGTGCTCTTTCGAATTGGAACGTGGTGTACCCCGGATACCCACGAAGTCCACCTCGTCACCTCCTCCACTGCTTGGCTCAGGGGACACGGGCGTTCCAGAACGCTTCATCGGCTGCATGCTGGGCTCAGCCAAGGGCCCCTACTCGTTGATCATACGTCGCTCGGACGACGTCCCAGACATGCTGTATAACATATATATATAGAGAGAGAGTCTTCATTATTTTAGCATACGAATTTCCAGGCAGGAACTCAAGATCCAGTGGTTAATCCTCAGAAAGGGGCATGCCTCTGAGCACCACATCCAAACAGATCAATGGCTAGACAAGGATATACGGATTTCAAAGTGAGGCCTTGTGCCACACACTCGTTTGGACTGGTCACCTCCTAGTATCATTGTAGGGCTCTTGCCCACCCATTGGCACTCCAATCAATCCTCAAAAGACCTTTCAAAAGATCCTATTTGAGGTTACTGTTGCAGCTGGGTATTGGATCATGCATTTGGTCACTCCACAGCCCATGAAAATGTAATCCATGCCCAAGTTCATCCAACCTCCCGGTTCTGCGTTTGACGGGAAACCATGCGTTAGACACCTGGCGTAAACTGGGGCAAATACGTTGGCAGAAGCCTGGTACATACTATTCAATTCCTTGCCGTCAAAAATTACCTTCCATCCAACAACCATGAAAGTCGAAGTCCACAACTACACACTAGTCTTTAGCACGGTTTGGTGAGAGGGAGACCCGTTGTCCGTTTGGGGTCATGCCATCCACTGATGATTGAATAGACAGGTAGTTGATCACCCCACGGTTTGTTGATTCAAGGCATGTTCTTCTCTGTGGCCATTCTCTCGGGTGTGTTCAACAACACTCCGATTGTGGTGATGATGATCCCCCTGCTGCAGTCCTTGTGCACCTCAGCTGCAGGGCGGGGGTGTGGGCTGGGCAGCATGCTTGGGGCCCTCAAGAAGGTCACCCTTGTTGGCCGTAGTTAAACGTCCTTACTATACTAGTAGATCGACATGATACTGGACCAGCGTACATCCACAATGTACTTAATGTACGTATGAGTTACGTGTCAAGAAGGGCAGAAAGGCAAGGACAGAGGCTTCCAGTATCGACCGATGTGGCCAAACGCTTTGCAGGCAGTCGCGCGCGCTGAACTGGGAGGCCGGGACTGACGGACTGCCAAGGCCTCCGACAGGGTGTGCCCAGCCCGGCGGTGCTGATGCCCCTCTCCTTTGCTGCTCAGGCGGTGCGAGAAGTCCCCACAGTCAGGCTGTGAAGAGACTCAGGAAGCGCCTAACTAGTATGCTGCAAACTTTGAGAAGGTCACAATTCCTTGACAACCATCACACCTGTTCATGTTAGAGCCACCAGCCACCAAGGACCCCATGACACATGATGAAACCCTGTGACTGTCTCCTAAGACGGCCCTGGCCGTCTTCGAGGACTGAGAGTCTGATCCCACCAACCTGTTGACACCAAACCCCGCGAAAGGTCACCAAAAGGTCACCTGTGACGTGTTTTTTTGGGCTTCAAAGAGGTCCAAGACTTGGACGAGCCCGGTCACGTGGCCGGCCGACTGACCAAAAGGGCAGAGTGTTTGGTCAACGCCGGAAGACTGTATGTGGCTGATAGGCGGGGGTTATGGCTGATCAGGGGGACGGCTGGGGGACGGCAACATGAAAAACTGTAGCATCTTAATTCTAGGGACTCTTTAAGTGGCTGAACATACTTTTTGTTTGTCAATTCCAGAGCGCAAGATTCCTTTCACATCCACCTCTCTAATCGTCGAGTGGAATAAGAAATGAACCATGCGGGTATTCCTTTGGTTTGTCCTATTACCTGCAACAGTCAGTAAACAATTATCACTCTAAAATATAGGAAGGCCTTGACTAAACCATCAACATCCACTGTGGCAGGGAATAGGATATATCGGATATACCCAATGTATTCGGATTGCCTCCAGCAATGCCGCCAGGCGGGTGGGAGCTTGACCAAGATGGGTTCTTCGATTAACTTCGTGGCTGATGAGGTGCTGGGCCGGGGATGGGTTCCACTCGCGGGAGCGAAAACGAGTGACCTATATCTTGTGGGTTCCACTCGCGGGAGCAGAACAAATAGGTTGCTTGACATAGATCAAAAAAACAAGGAGCAGGCAGGCACGAGAACCAATAGCGGCAGCATCAGAAAGAAGAACGATAACCACATAATATGATTCAATAGCACTTTGCAGCGCAAGTGAGAACAGTAGCAATAGGATATCATATCAGGGCAACAAAATCAAGTTTGCGGGTTCACTGATGTCGGAGGTTTGAGAACAGGTCATGATTCAATGAATTGTTTTTAATTGTTTTAAAGGGGAACATCTACAGGACACCCTTGAAAGCACACTCCAAACACCAAGGATTTCCTGTGAAACATCACCCCTGGAACCTCTTCTCGGACTGATTCTTTCATGTCTCGCCGGTCTTTGGGGCCAGGTCTTTCGGGCCAACGGCTACGGCATTGGCTTCTTTACCTTGACCCTGGGCTCCGCGACAGCACGGCTCCGCCGTAGCCGTTTTGTTGTGTGTCCGAACCAATCGCAAGGAGGTGAATGATATAATGGTCCTTGTTTTTTTGTCAGATAGTTCTTTGCAGTCATGAGTGTCATTGTTTTCATCTAATCATATAATCATTGTCAGATGAGTCCTTCACTGAACAGCTCAAAAATCAGAAAACCGTTTCGTTACATGGGCTTGGCTGGTGGGATGTTGTGGGAACGGTGAGAACGGCATACATGTTTGTTCAAGCCATTGTCATTGGACGCAAGCGTGGAATATTTTCGCGGTGAAGGCCATCAACGACATTTTTCAAGTGAATCATGGAGATCGCGTCCATTCAGAGAAGATTGATCCAGGTTTCCTTGTGCATGATTTTCGAGAAGAACCGCGCAAAACGGGTGGAAAACTAAACCGTGATGGATGGATGGATGGATGGATGGATGGATGGATGGATGGATGGTGTTGAGCACATCCAAGGCTGCATCTTCATATGTCTCCTTGGTGCAGCTTGACTGCGCATAAGTCGTGCGATTTGGATGCCCCGAAGAAGGAGCGCCGTAGTTCACTGGTAGAATGACAGGTTGGGACCTTCGACTTGGAAGGAGTCAACTAGCTTCCAGGTTGAACAGCTCTGAGATTGGCATGACCCACAGCTCCGTAGTTACGGATTGGCAAACTTTAAAAAACATATTTCTAAGGTTTATCTGGAACCCATTTGACAGTTGTTGTGATAGGAAAAGACCACCACGTTTTGTCTCCAAAATAGGGGTCAATCAGGCTCTAGGTACGTATATAAACCCGAACACAAGCATGAGGAACGGCTTCGAGAGAAGCAACGTAACACAACCTCCAGCTGAAAGTACACCCAACAAACTAGGCTCAGTCCTTTTGTGAGTCTGCCTCCTAGGCCCTACTACAGTGTGTCACTATGTTGCTGTAGGCAGCATTTGTCAGTTGCATACTGAAGAACACGCGCACTTGACATATATAATATATGTTTACAGTTTACACAATAACACCTTTGGCTACTCCACATGTCCTTGAACGCTTTACGCCTTCCGGTCTCTATTGAAGCCGGTGTTTGGTTGTTATTCTGATACCAAACAAGGGATTCCTGGCACCGCCCTCAGGGCGCGTACTGCGCGATGATGGGACCGAAAGTCCTCATGCCGGTGTCGGATGCCGTGGAGTCTTCTGCGTCAAGGGGTGGGACAAACCTTTTTAAGGTGGGGCTGAGGAGAGGGGCTGAGAAGAGTGGGTGGCGGGTGAGGAGCTAGGAAGGGATCCAGTCTTTGGGCTCAGGAGTTGATGTGATGAGGGAATGACAATCAACCGGTGCTTTGTCCGCTCCCATGAAAGGTTCCCACTAAAACTATTGGCCCCCACAGTCCAAACCATCTCCACGTCCAAAACCCGCAGCTTTTGCTTCCAAAACGCCACTTCAGGTGGCCTTTTGCCCCAGTGAGGACGGACCCTTGGTGGGTCAAAGCCTGGCTGCTCGGCTCGACTTTGCGATCCGCAGCACCGTTGTGACGCAAAGCGCGATCCGATCGCTTCATCAAGCGTTCCAAGCGTTCGGCCGTATGTGGGTTTTTTGAAGGATCCCCGACGTCAGGGACCAAAGACAGCTTTCTCAGTTCCTCCCAAAAGACAGCCCGTTTTTGCCGGGATCTCTCTGGATCTCCAGCAGCTCCTCGTGACTGGTCGCCACAGCGCCACTCGTGCTCCAGCAGCTTCAGACTGACCAAAAATAACCCCCCGTCCACATAGGAAGAGGTTGACAACCATTTGTAACAGGAAGGGGGGGTTGATTCATCAAGATACATTATTCATGATATAGTGTACGTTACAAGGTTTTAGGAAAACGTTGGCCCGGATCATGCTTGTGACCTTGTCCCTAGTCAGCCGGTTTTTAAATCAAGAGTCTGAATCGAGTCTCAGTCTGACGGTTTTCGATGTCAGCCGGTCTTCGTTTTTACAGTGTTCTTCAGGAAGACTTGGGCCTCCACCGCATCCCTGGCGTCGAGGAGCCGCTGGGTAAAACATGGAGACCGCTGCTTAAGATCGCTGCTTAAGCAGATGTATAGTTCAGGTACAAGCCGTTGCACTTCTTTTGTGCACTGTTCTTAAGCCGTGTGTTTTCCCAGTGGCCTTTTTACCCCAAGCTTATCTATATATATAACATTATATAACTGGGTAGCTGAGTTGCAATCAATCTTCATTCTGTGCAAGATTTGGGCATTGTATCAATTATTGGGAGTCTCCAAGTATCGAGAACAAGTCGGTAGATAGCAACTCCAGAACATGTTTTTTGGGTAGTCTTATGCTAGATTCTGCTACAATTCTGACATGTTTTATTGTGAAACAGGCTAGCAACTACAGCTGTAGAACTGCCAGCAGACTAGCACGGGTAGAACTGCCAAGAGCTGTGTCCTTTTTGTAAGGGTGTTTCGGTGAACCTTCCAGGCTCCAGGCTCCAGAAACGAAAAACCTCCTGACCAACCTGCAACGAAGAGCTGGACCAACCTGGTTTGTCTGCTGGATCTGCCCCTCCTAAGGATCACCCTGCATCGCTGGCACGACGTGGAACTGGTGGAAGCTGGCGTCGTTGACAGCAACGCCACGGCGCAGAGCTTGCAGCTGGAGGACGAAAAAGAGGGGAGGACCCTGTTTCCCAAAAGGGAGTGGAGGGTTCCCCTTCTAAAGATTTCATGGGAAAGTATTGTTCACTAGCATGTAATTATGCTGGCAGATGTGGCTTGGCTTAGATCTTGATCGGGTGATGCTTACAAGTGAATTACAAGTGCTGGCCTTTTGGGGAACTGGAACTTCTAACGAAACAGCAGGGGCGCAATGCGTTGATGTCCTGTTAGGATTGATTGCCGAAGTTGTGTGGTTTTTAAGCTTTTTGAGGGGGACAATGGAGAGAAAATGAAGAGGGTGACACGGACCCTATGAATAGGTTTCAACGTGCTACATTCTAAGCAACGACTGCTGTTCATATTCAACACACTTAGAACACCACGTTGCAGTATTTTGAGGTGTTCTTATCCGGCGTGTTTAACATTGATGTCGATCATTTCTAGGCATAGCTGCCCCAGGCACTTCCTGCCGTCAAGACGTCCGTGTCAAAGCCATGCCCCTCCGCCCTGCTCGGCCAGGACTCGCTCTATGCTCGATGCAGCGCCGAGGGTGTGGCGCAGCTGCGACGCGTGAGGCGAATGCGTGACGCACAGGGTCAGAATCATGGCCTAAGATATAGTATGTGATAGTGAGAGTGGATGATTCCCTTAGGGCATGTAGGGGCATTTAATCATTACATGCACAATTTTTGTACTGGACGCAGTTTGCTGAGAGAGAACCATGAGTTGGCAGCAATTTCAATGGGTCCAATTCTCCCCTTCTTCTTCTCCTTGACCCTCTCTTCGGAGAGGGTGTTCCTGCTCCCATAAAACTAAGCTGAATGCAGAACTCAAACACTCCAAGACCATCCAAGAGGACTTTAAAACCATCCAGCCAGTCTGGGACGGCGTTGCACTCCAAGTAAGATTTGTGCTTGGAATATCTTGGAATTTTATATGTGATGATGATGCTATTCGGCTAAGCTCGCTGCCGGTGCTTCTCGGAAAACCGGACGGTGCGTCTCTTCGCTTCGCGGCTGCGGAGCGAGCGCTCGCGCTTCGACCGCAGGGGCTTGGAGCTTTGCAACGATGATGAGTTGAACTTGTTGGGTTCCAAACGTCGCCAGCGCTGCCTTTGTGAAGCTGCTGTCAAGGCGCGTCGTGTGATTTTTCTTCGCGTTAGTTGTGTGGCACCGTAGCTTGGGGCGCTTGGATTTGAGATGGTGAGAGGGAGAGAGCTGAAGATATTTCTATATATTTCTCAGTTTGATGATCTGATTATATGTTGCTTATTATTGAGTGTTTTCCTCAGATTCTGATCCCTTTGTTACTTGTTGTGAACATTTGTGAAGCTTGGAGACCCTCTAAGCCAGGCCCTCAGGACAAGAAAGCTTTGCAGGGGTTCAAAGAGGGTGTGTGTCCGACCCGTGTAATGAACTCTCCGATTGTGGCTGACCAGAGAAATGGAGGCTGTGCGAAGCTTGCTGTGAGGGTGCTTGAGGGATAGAGAAATGGTCTCTTTTGAAGGTCGGAACATGTCGGAACAACTGTGTGAATGGGACCAGGCTATCCATGGGACTGGAATAGTTACATTTACCCCACTTATGAATATGTAAGTAACTATTCCAGTCCCATGGATGGTTTGGGTATTGATGTGCCGCGCCTATCAACCAAGGTGCGAATTCTGAAATTGGCCCTATATAGTATAGACCACCCCCAAATAGATGGAAAAGTACCTCCCGACTCAAAATATCTTGGAAACCATGCCACTCTCTTTTTTCAAGCGGATCACGAAAACTTCCATCCACACGGCATTCACAGCATCCGTGTCCACAAAACACTCCACAGCATCCACATCATCGCTTCCAGGAGACGCTCCACGGTCAGCGGGTGAGCTTGCGGCGCTTCAAGCGCGAGCTCCGCTGCGCTGTGGTCGCCGTGCGCAGTGGCGCCGAGAGCGTCGAGTCGGAGTGGCGCGAGGGCTTTGAGGGCTATGAGACACTGGGACACGGCCGTTGGGTGGAATGAATGTGATTTTATTATATAATATATATGTGTACATATATATATATAGAGTTATATTAATATTCATATTTAACTATATATTGATTGATTTGTATAAACATTCATATTAGCCGATTTATTTAAATCATGTTTGATTCGTGCTGTACGGAAATGGTGCAATTCATTTGCACGTGCAATAATATAGTCATCTAGTGTCTATAGGGCAAAATCATAGAGGTTTGCCTACGTTGGGTTGCTTCTCCTTCTTTCTTCGAGACAGCGACCTGAGGGTCTTTCTCGTGATCCGTTCAGTCTGAGAGAACTTTGAATCGGAGGCTGTGATTGAATTGGTGATGTAGATAGTCAGTTCATCCAAAGCATATTCATGTTCAATCATTTATATATGTGAATGAAACAGGTCAATCAAAGAATGCAGCTCCCTTGAAAAGACAACTCAGCACTTCTACAAGCGTTCCCTGAATTGCCAAGTGCAACTTATCATTTCATCTGGAAGATGCACGATGTGTTTGGGCCCCCTTCGTCGCAAGCTGTTTGCATGTGCTAAGGATTCAATATGGAGATGTCCTTTTGATTGAAGCTTTTCAGGAGAAGCATGTCGCGCCGCTTGTCATTGTCCTAAAAGTGACGCACTTGAGGAGTGGAAGGCACTCAGCCAAGCTTCCTATGGCATCCCATGAAAAAAAAGAACGTTCATCCCGTTTTCCACCTTGAAAAAGCCTCTACTCCCAACCCACCATGCTTTCCCACGCGTCCTCTCCGTCTCCGCAGGAGATGTTTGGTTCGGAGCCCTGGCTGGAGCACTTCAGCGTCACGCGCCGGGTGCCCGATTCCGAGCCGCCGCGAAGGGGCACTAAGGCGGAGACTTGGCAGGATGCGGTCGGGATGTTTTGTTGAGTAACAAGAAGCTACTAGGAACAAGTGCATCGCTTCTAGTAACAAGTGCCTTACTACTAGGAACAAGAAGCTAGTAGAAACAGTGTATCCCTAGGGATCCAGTCGGTCCAGTCGTAGCGAACCTCAGGTACAGCACCTGGACCTGACAATGGCACCCACCCCAGTCCCACCGAACCTGAGAAGGTACTTGGAAACCCCTAGGGTATGACGACCCGTATGTTTGCAGAGCAAACTGGATGAACTGAGTGAAGTTGTATCAACAGAGTTCAGCGATTTTTGACTCATCCCCATTCGTTCTGGTCATCTTGTTGTCAGATCATGGCCAAAACGGTTACTGTAGTGCTGTTCCAGCCTGCCGAGATGTGCTTCACGATGTGCCGAGGACGACTTGCGCGCCATCTTCATCGTCGTGGGCCTGCTGATCATGATCATCATCGCCTCTGGTGGCGAGCCATGGATGGATTCGGATGAGGGGCATATGGCGGGATGAGCCACGCATCCCAGTTGATTTCAAGCGGGCTTTGGCCTGAAGTGGATCCCAGTTGCTCCAAAAACGACGGCAGGATAAACTGATCTTAGGCCACCAGTTGCTGGAAATCAATAGCCAATAAAGTATCCTGGTTGCTTTGTGAATTTTGGACGGTTTTCTGATGTGGCAAGTTTAGGGTTGGTTGGTTTCCATGATTGAATTCAAGTTTTCGGGGGTGGACACTTAGTGGAAGCAAGATGTGGACAGAAATCAGTTGGCAAACTTACACTCCCGAAGACCCAGAAAGACTGCTTTCCTCTAGCTGAACCTGTGGTTTTCAGGGTCCATGTTAGTTATGTATGGACTGTATGGATATGATGATACAATATGTCAAAAAGTGTAGAATTGACCATATGTTGGTCTGGATAGTCGATATGTACGGACATGTTTGGTATATACTATAATATGTCAAGAAGTTCCTGCTCCTGCTTCCTTTCCTCCTGCTCCGCCTCCTTATCCGCTTCCGCCCCCCGTCGCTGGGGCATTTGTGGTTTGGACCTGACAGTCAGTCCGTGGGGGCCCTGGACCTGACGGTCAATTCTCGCCAGCATCAAGTTTGGCATATGTTTTGACATCATTTATATACCATAACCCTAGGCCTCCAAGTACATTCTGAGCAGGTACTTGGAGGTGTAGGGTAAATGCTGGGACATGTTCTGGAATGTGTGCTGACGCCCTCTCTGGCACATGTGTTCTGATGTCAGGTGTGACATGTGTTCTCCCATCAATTCTTGCACATGTTCGGGCATATGCTCCGGCATTTAATGTGTTCTGCCACCTTGTGTCTTGTGTCTGACGTTTCTTCTGGCATTTGTTCAGATATGTGTTCATGTCACTTTGTGTTTGGCATTTCTTTCCGACAACTGTTCTATGATATGTGTTCGTGTTGCTGCACATGTCAGGCAGCGTTGTCAGTATCCTAGTTCGACAGTGTATGTGCCATGCCTTCTTCCCAGTCGCTTCGTTGGGTGGATCACTCGAAGTAGTGCAATATATATATATATATATTTACATAGTGAGTCAGATTTACATATATCTATATACACATACACACACACACATATATATACCTGGTAAACCTAAAACCTGGTAATTTCAATGGCATCTGCTGAAAACAATGTTTTTTGGATCATCAAACGTATTTTTCAAGGGCTGAACGCTACATTACGGTACTGAACGCTTATTTTAGCGGCAAGCTCCAAAATGCAACATTTCAACTGATCTGAAGAACACATGATTTCACCAAGCTCGGGCAACGATGCAACCCCCTGTTTTGTCACACATCGCTGCCCCTCAGCGAGACGGTTTGTTCATTTGTCTCTCAACCACATCATCATCAACTGACAAAAATAACGTTCATAAGAGCGCTTGATGCGTTGCCGTGGCGAAACGCAACGTGTCAGCAAACAGAACTTTCCAATAAAGTCTTCATCAGAAGCCGTTGACTCTGAAGCAGGGTTCATGACCCATGGAACTGCCTCGCATTGCACTGACATCCAGTGCAAAACATGCCATAACATATGGCTCTTGGGCATGGCAGGGAACCGCGAGAGGCTGCTTCGATGGCAAAGAAGGGCCAACCTCGAGTAACCTTTGAGAAAATGTCGACCAGCAGCAACAATAGCGCGGGCTTCGTCAGAAGGGATGAAAGAATTCCTCTTATACAAGCTGGACATAAAGAAGTTCACTGCTTTGCACGTAGTCGCCTCACTTAAATCTATAGATTGACCCCGAACAACGCTACCACTGTGTTTTTCCAAAGTACTACAAGCCTGTAAAAACAAAACAAATAAACACCAAATATAGCTGGATTGCAATAAGACGGTGGCATTCGTTGCTGGATGTTTGCAAACTGCGGAGCTCAGTGAAGTGCTGAATGAACTGACAAAGTGTAGTTGTCAAGGCTCCTTTACTCCAACCGCCAGTGGGTTCACTTGAACCAATCCATCCCAAGAGGGAACGGTCAATCTTCTGCACGTAATTCGTCTTGGAGTGTTCCTGTCAATGTTTCTCATAATTGCCGGTTTTGAAAGTCCTTCAACAACAGCAACAACAAACATTGAAAGTCAAAAACCTAAGAATCAACATTTACTGGGCTTGATGTTGAGCAGGTATGGAAGATAAGATACACTGGCGCGTAGAACAAGAATCTTCGCAGTACTCAATGAACTGGGCAGAGATCTCCCTCATCCGTTCCTCAATGCTCCTTCCACGGCACAACTCTTGCAACAACGTCAAGCTCGATGCAGCATAGGACTTCCCTACACCAAGGGTGATGGTGTGAAAAAGATCAATCTTGTGGAAGAAACCCTTGCGCGCTGGCTCATGCATCAGCAATCTTGTGAAGACCGCCTCTTCCTCCCAAGCCGGTTCTACTTCAAAGGTTTGGGCATATGGAGGATCATCTGACCTCAGTCAAACCATCGAACAACCCAGTTTTGCTACATTTGTTCCCCAATCTTAGCAGATTAAGCAACTAACACCTGAAAAAGTTATTGCATTGCAACACAGTCACATGTTTTCATAGTCAAGGTTCGGTCTTCCAGCTAGACACAAGTGACAAATTCCAGTGCAGGCAGTGGTTGAACTTGCTGCTTTGGGAACATTCCGGTAGGAACGTGTCATGTTGGCTGAAGTAGCCTTCAACAAGGGCCAAATCAGGCCCAAAACTCTAACTGCAAATCATCCTAGAAAGGTTGTTCCAAATACAACACATAAAAAAAATCATTGAATCATAGTCTTGAAACCAGATAGGGCCAGTCTCCTTTACTACCGAGTGGGATGGGGTGGAACAATGCGCCGCTACGCAACCGGATCCCCTTGCGAGAGGCTTCATCCAAAGATCTCACAACCAACTCCAAAAGTGTCTTGTAGGGCTGGCTGTTCTCACGATAATCTTCCTCAAGGTTTCAACCCCAAGCCCTGAACAAAGAAGCTCATGATGAATGAACAAACATTAAAAAAACTAATACATTGTTTTCAGCACATGCCATTGAAATTTCACAGCGAAAGGTCTAACAGGATGTTACTCTAAGAATTTAAGGAGTTAACAAACAAAACCATAACATCAGAAATCTTTAAGCCCAAGAAACCCTCAGGAGAGCACCAAGCATGAATCTAGTATCAAACGCGTGCCCCACAAAGTTGACATGAGGAACGGCAGGTGAATCCTGGAGAGGCCCCAACTTATTGCTGCGAGTGCCACAACCTATGGCGGACTGGATGTTCAGGACTAAACATCCATCCTTTTTGTAGGTTGTACCTTCATCGCCATGAAGGTACACAGGCCAGGCATTCTTTAACTGAAGGTGTGATTCCGCTGCTAGCTGGAACACCTGATGGCTCCCATGCATCAGCCTGTACTTTCCCCAAAAGTCTTCTAGAGTAGCCCTGCATGTGTCCAGAGTGTCGTATTCTGGCCCCATACCAAAAAACTTCCATAGCTTGCCAGCGTTGTCCAAGGCTTTGATCATTGACTCCACCTTGATGTAAGGGTATGCTGGGTCTTTTCCAACTTGTGCGTAGGAAAACTCCACATCTAGACGCATCCCATACTTGCTGAACACTTTTGCCACGAGATCTTCCTGAGCCAATTTTAGGCCTCAAACCTCAAACACTAACCAACTGACAATGGAGGTGGATGAAGGCCCTCGAGCAAATATATCAGGGGGAAAATGTAGAAAGATAGATGGGTCCTAAGTTCTAAGGCACAACCAAAACACTGAGTGGCCTTCAGAACCTCGATAGAGGTCACGCATCACCGGGCACACTGCAGCCGTCTTGTTCCCATCCCGCGTGTCATAGTCTAGGATGGAGGTTGCTCTCTGAATGATCTCAGTGCATGGAGCCTGGGGCCAAAAAAACAGTGACACCAGGCTCAGGGTCAGACAAGCCTTTCAATAACTTGAGCATGCACAGAACTGTTCTTTTCAAAGACACGCGTGCAACCGCTCCCATGGCCCAAATGACTGGTCGAGTAGCGCCGTGAGAGTAGCTCCAAGCCAGATCCCTGGCAGCACCAGACGGACCTGGCAAGATTGGGTGTTGACGGCTTCATCATTGTTTACCCGCAGTGGAGCCATGGCCTCCAACCTAATAGCAATTGGCAATGGCCTCCAACCTAAGAGCGATGGCCTCGAACCTAGTAGCGATGGCCTCCGACCACCTACTAGCAACGGCCTCCAACCTAATAGGGATGGCCCCCACCAACACGTGACACCTCGCAGCTTTGTTTGGCGACGTTTGTCACGCTGGTCTCATGGCTTCACGTCAAGTCAGGTCTATTGAACCCATTGTCAGTGATGTCCCTGCAAGACTACCGTCAGCTTAACTTGCAAGGTTCCACTGCATTATCAACCTGGCAACCCTGTATAGACACTGTAGATCCAACTATAGCTGCATAATTTATGAAGCTTTTGATTAATGATTTGATTTTTTGTTTCGGATATGTATGGGCCACCAGATTGACTCCCCCAGAACCGGCTTTGACTGCACAGGTTCGCTGGAAAAAAAATCAGCACACGTTTGATCAACGATTGCCGCAGGACAACAAATTAAGAACAAACCCACAAACATATTGTCTAACATCACCCAGACTACCAATGCCCACGGCAATCACTTCTTTGGCTTGGACTTGGCCTTCCCTTTCCCTTTGGGTTTCGGGGCAGGGGTTTTTGGAATCTTTTTTTCAGATTCCTCAGTCTCGCCGGCACCAGGCTTCTCATTCTTCTCAGCTTTACCGCCCTTGATCCGCTTGATGTCAGCAAGGATGAGCCTCGGCTAGCCAGGAGGAAGGGTGGTGCTGCGTTCGCCTTTCCACCAACATACACCCATGCACCCACCCAGAATGGCGCTACAATGGCAGTCTTAAGATGACAACTTTAATATATATCCAAGGAGCTTTTGCTTGGGCTCGATGG